CTCTAACTAATATCAGTTCTAGAAAGCACTGAAAAAACCTGTGGTGCTCTGAAATACTTTACGTTTGTTATATTAGAGCATCACCAGAAAAAGAAAGAACCAAGTGTCCTTGGAGATTGATCCATTGTAACAGATTTTTGCCTGTGGGGCAGGATGGTCGTTGTGGAGGAGGCTGTGCCTGTGTAGGGCAGGGATTAGTGGGAATTCTCACACCTTCTGTGCAATTTCTTTGTAATCCTAAAACTGCTCTAAAATAAACTTTATGAGAAGGAGTGACAGAAACATTTAAAATAAATTTTTGCCACGTTTTAAGAATCATTCTTAGTCTCACTACGTGATCAAATAACCTTGTTGCAAATCATGTATTCATGTCATTGGAAAATTTATTCACAGTAGCACCTTCATGGAATGTTTGTATCAACTTTATTGAGTGTGGCCGTTTCCACTCTGTGAATTTGGCTCATATGATTATTCTTGAATGGAATATTTATCTTAAAATTAGAGGATGTACTTGCTTCTATTGTTCTTTTTTTCTCGAATGTATAACCCATTTTGTAAACAGCCTTAAACTTAATAACCCCTGTCATCTCCTCAGCCCCGCACAGCTGCCTCCTCCCTCAGGGTTTCTGACACTCTCAGGATGTGGTTTTCACACTGTGCCTCTCGCACAGTAATACACGGCCGTGTCCTCAGATCTCAGGCTGCTCAGCTCCATGTAGGCTGTGTTAGTGGACGTGTCGGCGGTAATTGTGACTCTGCCCTGGAACTTCTGTGCGTAGTCTGCTATGCCAAATGCAGGGATGATCTCTCCCATCCACTCAAGCCCTTGTCCAGGGGCCTGTCGCACCCAGCTGATAGCATAGCTGCCGAAGGTGAATCCAGAAGCCTTGCAGGAGAGCTTCACTGAGGCCCCAGGCTTCTTCACCTCAGCCCCGGACTGCACCAGCTGGACCTGGGACTGGGCACCTGTGGAGAGGACACAGGAGTGAACAAAACTCGCTTTAACTAAACCAGGATCCCTTCCTCAGCTTTGGGACTAGGAAGCCCCTTACCTGTAGCTGCTGCCACCACAAAGAGGAGCCTCCAGGTCCAGTCCATGGTGATGAGCTGTGTTCCCAGGGGCTTCTTTAGAGGAGGGATGTGGTTGTTATGTGATGCTTTCAGGGCACCAATATATTTATATTTATCTCAGGTGACCTCAGGTTATTTGCATATTCATAAGGCAGGGTATTTCAGCGCTCAAAGCCTGAACCAGGATGAGAAAGAAAACACAGATGCCACATCAACTGGATAAGAGTGGGATGCTGAGAGACCAAGCCTGCTCAAAGAAATGCATCCCCTGCCCCATTTCTAAGCTTTCTGTGGACAGCACTCCTCACACTGAAGAACATGCCCCAACCCAGGATATGCTCCTCACTGTGAACCCACATTTTGTTGGCTTAGAGATTACCTGGGTTGTTTCTGGGACCATTGCTGTCTCTGACATTGAGAAGTCACCTTGACTCCATTCTGGTCCCATTAGGAACAGTCAGAGCTCACTGGTAACATGGAAAATGTGGCCACCAGTTATCCCACATGAGCATCCAGCAGGGCCCATGGAGACTTCTGAGATCTGCTGGGTGTTCCCACGACAGACTCCCCAGCACTTTCCTGAGGGTCCTGACCTCCCAGGCCCTTCAATGGAACGACTCTTGGTTTACAGATTTGCCCTCTGATGTGTGATTAATTCTGAGATTTCCCTCTCATTGACAGTAGGAATCAGGGGTTGAAATAGAAATAGGAATTTTAGTTTCTTGATGAACTCGTAGTGCCCAAAAATAATTACCAAGTAATTTGTATTTTAAGTAAGTTTGTGTTTTATTTCAAACTCCGTTAAATAGAGTGATTTGACATGGTTTTAGATCATGTCCATAGATCATCATCTTTACATGTTGATTTCTGATCTGCTTGGTCTGTGTACCTACCACACCCTTCAATCCACCACTTCCAAGTCACAAACACAA